TGCACCTCTTTATCTTTGAGATTCCAGCATTTCTTGCATTTTTTCCCCACAGTTCATTTTGTCGTCTTTGTGCACATGTTTATCTTTGACATTCATGCATTTCTGCATTTTCTTCTTCTACTCAATTTAGTTGCCTTTATACACCTCTTTATCTTTGAGATTCCAGCATTGCTTGCATTTTTCTCCTACAGTTCATTTCGTCGCCTTTGTGCACCTGTTTATCTTTGACATTCATGCATTTCTGCATTTTCCTCTTCCAGTCTATTTACTTGCCTTTATGCACCTCTTTATCTTTGAGATTCCAGCATTGCTTCTATTTTTCCCGTACAGTTCACTTCGTCGCCTTTGTGCACCTGTTTATTTTTGACATTCATGCATTTCTGCATTTTCCTTATCAAATCTATTTACTTGCCTTTATGCACCTCTTTATCTTTGAGATTCCAGAAATTCTTGCATTTTTCCCCTACAGTTCATTTCGTCGCCTTTGTGCACATGTTTATCTTTGACATTCATGCATTTCTGCATTTTCTTCTTCCACTCTATTTACTTGCCTTTATGCACCGCTTTATTTTTGAGATTTCAGCATTTCTTGCATTTTTCCCCTACAGTTCATTTCGTCGCCTTTGTGCACTTGTTTATCTTTGACATTCATGCATTTCTGCATTTTCCTCTTCCAGTCTATTTACTTGATTTTATGCACCTCTTTATCTTTGAGATTCCAGCATTTCTTGCATTTTTCCCCTACAGTTCATTCTGTTGCATTTGTGCACCTGTTTATCTTTGACATTCATGCATTTCTGCGTTTTCCTCTTCCAGTCTATTTACTTGCATTTTCACCTCTTTATCTTTGAGATTCCAACATTTCTTGAATTTTTCCACTACAGTTCATTTCGTCGCCTTTGTGCACCTGTTTATCTTTGATATTCATGCATTTCTGCATTTTCCTCTGCCAGTCTATTTACTTGCCTTTATACACCTCTTTATCTTTGAGCTTCCAAAAAGGCTTGTATTTTCCCCTACAGTTCATTTCGTCGCCTTTGTGCACCTGTTTATCTTTGACATTCATGCATTTCTGCATTTAGCACTTCCAGTCTATTTACTTGCCTTTATGCACCTCTTTATATTTGAGATTCCAGCATTTCTTGCATTTTTCCCCTACAGTTCATTTTGTCGCCTTTGTGCACCTGTTTATCTTGGACATACATGGATTTCTGCATTGTCCTCTTCCAGTCTATTTACTTGCCTTTATGCACCTCTTTATCTTTGAGATTCCAGCATTTCTTACATTTTTCCCCTACAGTTCATTTTGTCGCCTTTGTGCACCTGTTTATCTTTGACATTCATGCATTTCTGCATTTTCCTCTTCTAGTCTATTTACTTGTCTTTATGTACCTCTTTATTCTTAAGACTCCAGCATTTCTTGCATTTTTCCCCTACAGTTCATTTTGTCGCCTTTGTGCACCTGTTTATCTTTGACATTCATGCATTTCTGCATTTTCCTCTTCCACTCTATTTACTTGCCTTTATGCACTTCTTTATCTTTGTGATTCCCGCATTTCTTTCATTTTTCCCCTACAGTTCATTTCGTCGCTTTTTGTGCACCTGTTTTTCTTCGACCTTCATGCGTTTCTGCATTTTCCTCTTCCAGTCTATTTACTTGCTATTATGCACCTCTTTATCTTTGAGATTCCAGCATTTCTTGCATTTTTCCCCTACAGTTTATTTTGTCGCCTTTGTGCACCTGTTTATCTTTGACATTCATGCATTTCTGCATTTTCCTTTTCCAGTCTATTTACTTGCCTTTATGCACCTCTTTATCTTTGAGATTCCAGCATTTCTTGCATTTTTCCCCTACAGTTCATTTTGTCGCCTTTGTGCACCTGTTTATCTTTGACATTCATGCATTTCTGCATTTTCCTCTTCCAGTCTATTTACTTGTCTTTATGCACCTCTTTATCTTTGAGATTCCAGGATTTCTTGCATTTTTCCCCTACAGTTTATTTTGTCGCCTTTGTGCACCTGTTTATCTTTGACATTCATGCATTTCTGCATTTTCCTCTTCCAGTCTATTTACTTGCCTTTATGCACCTCTTTATCTTTGAGATTCCAGCATTTCTTGCATTTTTCCTCTACAGTTCATTTTGTCGCGTTTCTGCACCTGTTTATCTTTCAGAATCATGCATTTTTGCATTTTCTGTGTACGATATATTTTGCGGCCATTATGCACAACTTTACCTTTGAGATTAATGCATTTCTCGATTTTCTGCATACCGTCCATTTTGTCGCCTTTATGCACGTCTTTATTTTTGAGATTGGAGCATTTCTGAATTTTATCAGATTGATGCGTTTCTGCATTTTCTACTTACACTTCATTTTGTTGCCTTTATGCACCTCTTTATCTTTCAGAATCATGCATTTCTGTATTTACCGTTTGCAGAGTCTCAACTGCAGCAAATTACACTGAGAATTGTCGGCCCTGTGGTACGACTGCCCAAGGTCGCGCACTCTCATTTCACTAGAGAGTGGGATCAATGCTCGCCCCGAGGCCAGCTCAACCGAAGTTTGCAGGCTGCGGACAATATTTGTTCCTAGCCCGGGTGTACGCGCTCGGGCTTCCCATAATAAACCGACCTTGTGTCACAACCTGTCCTCGTGGGTCTTTGAGTAAATATAAATCTCTCTGGAGTAGTTTGTCACACATTATTTATCATCTCTCAGTTGCATCTCTGTCCTTGGGCAGAGTGCACGCAGGAGCGACTCCATCAAACGCTGGTTAAATCCAGTTGATTTGAAAAGAAATGTGGGAGTGCCGACAGGGTACAAGGTCCTTCCCCTAAATAATTGATCGTATCAATTTTTAACGTATCTACCTTTCGAGATGTCTAGGAAAGGTCATTTTCCTTCCGGATTTTATCTGTCTCATGAGAGGTGTGACTGGTCGTGGTTGTTAGTCTGGAGCCATATTTGCGATTGGTGACATCTTTTCCAAAAATTGTGTCTGTAATATTACCACACTTGACTCTTATGTATTTATCAGCTCGGCTGATAACTTTGAAGTGGCCTTGATAGCCAGATATCAGTGATCGTTTAACTGCCTGATTCCGCATAAAAATATACTCGTAGTCTTGAATTTTTTTTTTTTGTTTTTGTTTTTTTGTATGTAAACATCTCTTATGGTGTGTCGTTTTGGTGCGCATTTCAACCGTGCGATTTTCTTGCATGGTTCTTGTATAAATGGAGCCGTTGGAGTGGAAATCGTATCTAATATGCCGCAGAAGTATTGTCCTGGTAAATATAGGGAGTGCACCAAAACTGAGTTTGGCTAGTGTGCAACCTAAATCTTCCTTAACTCTATTCCTGATACAGAGTAGGATTCTTGGTAGGTATTCAATCCATTTAGTCGTGTCAGATATCTTAGCCAGACTGTTTACACAGGGGGTGGGTATAAGCCGTCCACTTGGCGTGCTTACGGCTAAGTAAATTGTTGAATTCCCGAAATAAGGATGATTGAAATTATGCTCCACGGTCGGTCGAAATTACTTGTGGCGTTCCAAAAGTTGCACTCCAATTTTTTAGAATAGCTTTGGTGACTGTGTTCGCTGTAATGTCTTTGATTGGTAAGGCGGTTGGACATCGGTAAAATCGATAGATGATGCTCAGTAAGTACTTGTAGCCCTGACACATTGGTAAAGGTCCAACAATATCAATATGTATGTATGTAAAGCGGGCGTCGTGGTTGGCCAATAGGTGATTTTGTGTGGCGATATACTTTACACTTTTGGCATTCTAGGCACGTGGTAGCCCTCTCACGGATGTCGATGATCCTGTTGGGCCAAACAAAGCGCTCCTTGATGTGCTTGACTGTAGCTTGTTTGCTGGGGTGCGACAAAACTTGTAAATGTTCGAAGATCATTTTCCTGTGTGTGGCAGGAATATATGCCCTGGGGTCGTTTATTGTGACATGACAGTAGAGACACTTGTTGCTGAAGGGGATTGGGAATTGCTGGGGTTGCAGGTAAGTGCTCGTGCGAACTTCTTGTAATGTTGTCTGACTTTTGTTCGTCGGCTATTAAATCGTGACTCAGTATGCTGTAAGCAAGTGTATTGTTATCCGCTTTGGAGTGTGTATCTGCTATGCTATCTGTACCTTTTCTGTGGCGTATGTCTGTGGAGAATTGTGAGATGTAATCTAAATGTCTAATTTCTCGAGACGTGTATTTGCCCGGAGTTAGTTTTTATGGCCGTCCTCAGCGGTTTGTGGTCAGTATAAATAGCGATATCTCTTCCCTAAAGAGATGCCGAAAATATTCGATGGCTAAGTAGATAGCCAGTAATTCTTTAGAGAAGTTACTATATCTGGTTTGGGCTTATGAGACTTTAACCAAGATAACGGCTATTGGTTTACGGTAGGATTTTAGTCTTTGATCGATGATTGTGCCTACCCTTTGCGCCAAATGCTTATGTAATCAGTAATATTTTTGTCTGTGGATCCTTGTCGATAAATGACAATTTAGTGAAGTCAGCAAGTGCGGTTCTTGCCATGTTAGATGCATTCAAGGCATGAACCTCAAAAGTGATGTTTTTCTTCTTCTTCTGAAGATTTGTTAAGGGTTAAAGTATTTCTGAACAATTCAGAACAAACCTTTGGTAGAAATCTTTGACCATTCTGATGAAACTTCGTAGTTGTTTGAAGCTGGTGTAGAAAAGTCCTGGATGGCTTTAATCTTCTCTGTTAGAGGCAAGATACCATCGCCGTCAATGTTGTGCCCAAGGAATTTGATACCTGGCAAGTCAAAGAAACATTTTTTTCTAAATTGATCCAAGACCAAATCTTTGTAACACTTCATGGAGATACTGTTTATGTTTATTGACGTCATCGCTAGCTGTCCGGATATCGTCATTATACGCGTATGCAAAGGGAAGAACACCTAACACTTAGTCAATTAGGAGTTGAAATAAACTGAGTGGCGTTCCTCAGGTCGAATTGCATTTTTACGAATTCATACAGGCCAAATGATATGGTAACCGCTGTTTTGAGGAATGTCGTCCGTAGCCATAGGGATTTGGTGGTATGGCTTGGTTAGTTCGATCTTGTAGAATATGCATATACCCTGTAGCCCTGAGGCAAATTCATGGATATGAGGAAGTGGGTAACGATCAGAGATGGTTTCCTGTAATCGGTGAATACTCCAAAATCCGTGATTTCGGGTTTCGGAACCAGGTGTAGTGGTGAGGCAAATGGGCTTGCACCACGTCTGCGAGCCGAGATGAATATCGCTTCGAGCTGCAAAAACTAATTTCTGAGGTTGACTTCATTATGTGCGGGTAGCTGGAGCAGGGGTGTTGACGTGTTGACTGACATTTCGGTTGTATCTTCGTTTGAAATCATAGTGAATGCAGTGTTTTTTTCGTTTTACATCAAATAATCACTTACTGCTGTCTCATTCGCGTCGTAGGTCACCACTTTGTTGCGGGTGGTATATTGGCCCACAAACATATATCGAATGACGGAAGACAAGAACAAACAAAACAAAGACTTGAGTAAAGATAAATATATATTGCCAATTTTATTTTTGTTAAAGAAAAATACATAAACAAAAATAATGTTAGTGTGAACTAGGCAAGAGGATCAGAAATAGCGTTGTCCTGAGAAGGACAGTGTTGTGGTCACTCTAGAGCGTTGTTTTAAATAAGATAGTTTCGTGGTCGTTAGAGAGCGTTGTCCTGAAAAGGACAGTTTCGCGGTCGCTAAAGAGTGTTGTCCTGAAAAGAACAGTTTATTGCATATCCTTGGCAAGGATGACTGGAGAGGTTGGAGAGGCATAGTCACTGACCCGTGGAACATATATATTTATTGTTTCAATTGAATCAATTGCGTCATAAGCCCAAATGGAAAGTGGAGTGATTCTGGTCGACATTTCTATCCTAGGTCTAATTAATCAGATTCACAACCCATTCATTCATTACAATTTCCTCATTCGCAAGAAGAACTCATCTATCACCATTCAATACTACATATGCCACAATACCACAAATTCATAGGGAAACTACAAAAAAAAACATGACATAAAAATTTCATTCAAGGCCGCGGTACATATGTTTTGGGTGCTTTTAAGGCGACTTTATATCCTGAACTAGTCTTACAAGAACGCTGGTTAAGCTTTTTCTTCCAGTTGTTTTTAAAGATATATTGGAGTGCCGACAGGATACGACATATAGATAGATATACATGAAAAGTCATAGATAGATAGATAGATAGATAGATAGGAACAGACAACAGACTGAGATAGATAGATATTAACAGACTGAAATAAATATGAACAGACTGAGATAGATAGATAGATAGATAGATAGATAGATAGATAGATAGATATTAACAGACTTAAATACATATGAACAGACTGAGATAGATAGATATGAACAGACTGAGATAGATAGGTAGATAGATAGATAGATAGATAGATAGGAACAGACAACAGACTGAGATAGATATAAACAGACTGAAATAAATATGAACAGACTGAGATAGATAGATAGATAGATAGATAGATAGATAGATAGATAGATAGATAGATAGATAGGAACAGACAACAGACTGAGATAGATATAAACAGACTGAAATAAATATGAACAGACTGAGATAGATAGATAGATAGATAGATAGATAGATAGATAGATAGATAGATATGCACCTGGGAATCCAAAAATTACGAACAATACCTTTATGCATTTGGAATTAAGAATATTTTTATTAAAAAGAATTCTTCCTACATAATTCCATTTTGGCAGACGCCATAAAATTTGCGAAATACCAAAAATCTCAAAATTCCTCAAGACTCTTTTCTCTTCGGTTTTTCGAAAATGACTTCCAAAAGTTGCAGAAGAATATCGTGAAAAATATAATCCTCATTTAATAGAAAATTGATTTATTAGTTCTTAAAAAAAAGAATAAATAATATCTTAGTTGCATGTAGGAAAGACTAATTTGTAATATTTCAACCACATTAACTGCATATTGGCTATATTTTATTTCTTTTATTTTTCTTAAAAAATGTAACATTTTGTTTTGGACAGCCTAATTTATTATGCCGTTTATTCTGTGACCAAATGAACATGTGTAGGTAAAAATATTTTTTGTTGCTTTTATACAAAATAATTTTGTTGTAGGTTAATAAAATTTCTCTCTCTCTCTCTCTTTCTCACATACACACAAACAAAATTTATCTCTCTCACACACACAAAACTTTACTCTCTCACTCTCTCTCGCTTACTCTCTCTTACACTCACAAACAAAATATCTCTCACTCATTCACTCCTTCTCTCTCTCTCTCTCGTTATCTATCTCTCTCTCGCGCGCACGCACAAACAAAATCTCTTTCTCTCTCTATCGCTCACACACACACACAAACACAATCTCTCTCACACATACAAAAAGAAAATTTCTCTCACTCACTATTTTACTCTCGCCCGCTCACTCTCTTGCACACGCACAAAGAAAATCTCTCTCTGTCTCTCTCTCTCTTTCTCTCTCTCTCTCGCACACACACAAGCAAAATCTCTCCCTCTTACACACACAAAAAAAACACAATCTCTCTCTCTCTTACACACACACACAAAAACACAATCTCTCTCTCTCTCTCTTACACACACACAAAAACACACACAGAAAGAAAATTTCTCTCTCCCACTGTCTTACCCTCTCTTACTCACTCCTTTTCTCTTACAGACTCACAAACAAAATTTCTTTATCCCTCCCCCCATCTCTCTCTCTCTCACTCACTCTCATCCTCTCTCATTCTTTCTCACTCCCCCTCCTACACACAAACACACACACAGACGCAGGCAAACAAAGACGCACGTGTGGATGCGAACGCGCTCGAAAGAGTGACGAATTGTCTTCGGACTGATGCACTTGCCAAAATTAATATTCTGATGTTTGGTCATTAAAATGCTGATTTGTGGAGCGGAACGGGGGCTGATCATTTTTCAGCACTCCCACCCCGGCTAGTGTGAAAAAGTTTCCAGTGTTTCTTATTTGAAAAGTAGGAGTCTATTGGTTAGTCTACCGCCCGATTCACACCCCTTCCTCTGTCTTTGGAACAGGAGTAGAGGTTTATCCCTTGTTTCCCGTTTAGGATTGGGTTTCCGGTACCTTCTCTTAAATTCTTCTCATTTCCTTTCATTCTCAGTAGCTCTTTGCGTCTTAGTGGCAATATCACCTTGCTTGGGATTAAATGATTTAAAAAAAACATAAAAACCGGTTTCATAATCTTTACTTTGTCTCCATTCTAGCAAAGAATAAGAAAAAGAATAAAGATGTCTCTGAGAATATTTGCACACACCCGACGCGCGCGCGCGCGTGTGTGTGTGTGTGTGTATTCATTTTAAGGTGAGTTATGTTTTAACATTGATTGCATCATTCAGCTGATCACACAGACAAAATGGTGAAGGCATTTATCAATCAAATTTGTATGACAAGAAGGGCGGTTTCGCGCCTATTTTACTGAAGGAAAACATAAAATCGATCCCTATTATTTCATAGTGCAAGTAAAACACATCATCAAATGACACACGTAAAGACGCCATAATCTTGTCTTGCTCCATCTTTTCAGACTATTTTCACAATATGTACGGATATATCAGTTACTGCGTATGTAATGAGGTGATACATTTGGATGCGTTTATCTCTTTCAGTGGTTTTATACACGAATGTGCGTCTCAGTGTGAACACACGCACATACAAAGTGACACGTGTACGCATGCGCATCGTAAGCCTCTGGAAATGTTTTCTTGTCGCTCTGAAGGTCGACATCCCCTGGCAACAACCGCAAATTCTATTAAGCTATCATCCGATTCGATTATTCTCTTTCATCATTCTCTCTAATCCGTTATTCCGACATTCTTAACCTTTGTTCTTCTCAAAGGCAAAATTGTCCTAAAGTGATTAGCAGCCGACAGTTCCTTTTCTGTAGAAAAGCGGAGGACAAAGACATTTTTTTTTCTAAAAATTTCATTAATGGTTTTTATTTTATTTATTTAGTCTGTGGTCGAATTTTTCGAAACCAAAACACGAATTTTTACATAAGCGTAGATTGCTTCCTGCTTAAAGCAAAAGAAAAAAACAAAACAAAACAATCGATTTTTAAAAACACGCAGCTTCAGAAGAAATAATGTTCACTTGCAAGCAAGGTGACAGACACAAACTGGATTCTCAAGATCCTTTGAATACTGAAGTAATTCCAATGGATTCATTGGTTGATTGATAATTTCATATCTGAAAATTTAGCGTCTACGGAAAGAATTAAGTTTTCACTGTAAAAGAAAAAAAGGCGAATCGACTGATTTTGCTTCCACAATAGTATCAGAGCTATAACGCCATTCTCTGGCAATTTTGCGAGAAAATTCCCAGTGAACACTTTGCATTGTCTGTCACCTATAATAACCATCTTTTCTTTTGAAAACAAGAAGCCACATTACAAAGTGTAATGTAAGTCAGATTCCAAATAGACACGATCGAAATAGCAACCCCTAAAAAGGACTAAAAACTGACCGCAAAAAGATCGTATTCTCTGTTCTGAAAACGCTAATAAGGACCAAATACTGCAACTTGGGTGATATCGGCCACCAGTGGGCGATTTCAACTGTTGGATAGGCGCCTTCGCAACAAAACAGAAAATGGTGGATGATTGAAAAATTTCGGTAAGAGATATAGGATTTTGAATATTAAAAAGATATTTCAACATTTTAATATATGCTACTCGAAAAAATGATGCTAATTGGAAATAACTGAGTAACATTCTTAAATAAGATACAAACATTCCCGCAAACAACCAATATTTTGGTATTTTCTATAGTTTTGAGAAGACTCATTAATATTCAAATAGTTCTTCAAACGAAATACATTTATTCGGATATAAATGAGATAAGGTAAGAGCAATTTATTCATTGAATTTTTATTAGTTTCTAGTAGGGATGTGAACGTAGGGCGATGGTGCCAAATGGTTAGGAATCCTTTATATCCTGGAAACATATCTCGATATCCACCTTTGAGCCTTCATTAACTTTTAAAAAGCAATATTTTCAGTTAGTCTTGTTAGTAGTAAAAAATGGACTCTGTTGTTAACCGATCTCCTCTTTCCATGCACGAAATCAGATAGCAATACTCTGTTGCCTCGTCTCTTTAATGTCGCTAAATACATCACACTTTCACTATTTAGCCTGCTACTATTTTTCCAATCGAGCGTCTCAGCACACAGTATCAAACAGTCAGCCATACAATTATCGTATTGGACACTTCGATGTAGTGTAATGTTTAGCAAGATTGTCTTGCTAGAACAATTACGACTAAGTAATGAGTTTGGTCCTCACTGTGTACCCTATAATTTGTGCCCTTTGTGTTACATCTAAGGTACTCTCCGTCAAATATATTCTTTTCTCCAAAGTAAGTCAACAATTAGCACTTTTTTAAGGTAATGGGAGACGGGCCTTACAACAAGTTACAGAAGAAAAAGGGATTTTTAACCACGTAGGTTTAAAAAATTCTTGTCGTGTAGAAGAAAACAATTGTTTCTTTTGCGTGTAGGAAAAAAACATGTTACTGCAAATACGGAGCAAATTTTGGCCTCGATAGTTGAAATTCAACAACAACAACAGAAACAGCAACAACAACAAAATCAACACGCTGCTAGAACTACAAACTCAGCAACAGGAGTTGTTGGATATAATTCTGAAGAAAAGAAAAAAACAATTCTGTAATGATTTTTATGTCAGAAGCTGTTCAAAACACCATATCAGAATTTGTATACAATCCTGATGAGAAACTGACTTATTCTGTGTATTTTCTTAGATATGAACAAATATTCAGTCAGTAATGCATCAGCTGAAAAGATGAGAGAAAAACGAGATTGTTGTTGAGGAAAATAGCTCCGATTGAATATAAAAAATACTGCAACTTCATATGACCGAAAAAAGAAGGTGAAATTGGGTTGAAGAAATGGTGCACATTCTGAGGAAAATTTTTACTAATAAGAGCTCTCTGATTAATTCTAGTTGAAGGTAAATGAATCTAACCAAAACAGAGGACAAAGATTTCGTCAATTTTACTGGTATCGTCGACAAAGAGTGTGAAAATTTTAGAGGAAAGGAAATGACTCCAGAAATGTTGAAAGGGTTCATTTTCGTTCACGGTTTAACAGCTAAAAACGATACTTAAATATGAGCCACAATTTTAACGAAAATTGAACAAAACAGTAATATTACGCCGCAAGAAATAGTGGACGATTGCCAGACAATTCTAAGTCTGAAACACAATGTTGAAGAAATTCAGAAAAAAGAATGTATATTGATACAAGCAAAGGAAAATGTAGAAAAGGAGAATGAGTCCTTGTTTCGGGTGTGGTAAATTACATCTTGGAAAAACTGTTCATTTAAAAATACAGAATGTTTCAAATGTGGTAAATGAGGACATATAAAGTCACATCTGCAAAAGCAAGTAAAGAAAAACAGCATTGCGACGGAAAAATGTCACAGAAAACAAAAGAAATTTGTGAATGTGAAAATAAATAATGTAGGTGTGAAAATGCTACTAGACACTGGTAGTGATATTTTAATAATCAGTGAAACCACATAAGAAGAAATTAGAAAACATTTATTTAAAAAGGTCTTCCAAGGTCGCGATTTCCGTTTCTGGTGAGAAATTTTTTTTGGGGGGGATGACTCATTCTGTAATAA